CCAGGCTCGGTGGCTCAGCCTGTAATCCCGTGCTTTGGGAGGCTGAGGTGAGTGGATTGCCTGAGCCCGCGGGTTCGAGACCCACCTGGGCAACTTGGCGAGACCTCATCTCTACAATAAATCAAAAATTAGCCGGGCGTGGTAGCGCGCGCCTGTAGTTCTGGCTGCTTGGAAGGCTGAGGCGGAAGGATGGCCGGAGCCCAGCAGGTGGAGGCTGCAGTGGCCGGGGGTGTGCCACTGCACTCCAGTCTGGTCGACAGAGTGAGACTCCAACGCAAAAAAAACAAAAACAAAAAAAACCAAGAGCAGTTCATGGACTGAAGGCACTAAATACTTCTAAAGGCAGGGTTGTAGAATGGTACTGAAAAAAGGAAGATTGAATGAAAGTAACAAGAGTTAGATTTCTAAACCTCCTTCCTTGACCTTTGTAGCCAGGTGACTGCTCTTTTCCTTCCGAGCAGAAGACAGGTTGAATCGAGAGGCTCTGGATTTGGGAACACTAGGCACAACTAAGGATGATTGTACTGAAGTCAGGGCAGGATTTGCTAAACTGTAAGACCCTTTACCCTCTTGGTCCCTAGAAGACTGGCAGCCAGGCATATAATCTTGCCCTGGTAGGTGAAAGGATTCTGAAAATTGAAAGATGCATGGGCTGGGCTTGGTGGCTCAGCCTGTAATCCCCGCACCTTGAGAGACTGAGGTCAGTGGATTGCCTGAGCCCGCGAGTTAGAGACCCGCCTGGGCAACTTGGCAAGACCTCACCTCTACAATAAATCAAAAAAAGAAAGAAAGAAAGATATACTGGTACTGACAGTTGAGGAGTCCCCTGGTAAATCTGCCAGGTATCTGCCTAATAACTCTTTAGTGAAGCTCATTAATCAATACCCTTTCCCCCATAGAGAGCTCCTAATCAGCTCTTAATGCCTCACTCTATTTTTTTCTTTTCTTTTTTTAGTTGGGGTCTATTGCCCAGGCTGGTCTCAAACTCCTGGACTCAAGCAATCCTCTTGCCTTCACCTCCCAAGTAGCTGGAATTACTTATAGGTGCATGTCACCATGCTGGCTCTGCTCTGTAATATAAATCAAAACTGACAGCAAGGATTGCCAGATATTTGATGAAAGCCTCTAACAAAAAACACAGAACAAAGTAAACGGGATAATTCAGAGGAAATAGAGAAAACAGGAAACAGGAAAAACTTTCAAAATGCATAATTAACATGAAAAAAAAATTCTTTTGAGTTGGAATCTCACTCTGTCACCCAGGCTGAAGTACAGTGGTGTGATCATGGCTATCGCAGCCTCAGTCTGTTGAGTTCAGGCAATCCTTCTGCCTCAGTCTTTCAAGTAGCTGAAACTACAGGTGTGCACTACCATGCCAACTAATTTTTTTATTTGTTGTAAAGACCAGATCTCACTATGTTGCCCAAGCTGGCCTCGAACTCCTGGGCTCAGCAATCCTCTTACCTCGGCCTCCCAAAGTACTGGGATAACAGACATGGGCCAATATGCTTGCCTGAAAACTATTTTTTTTTTAAATATGGAACGATTCACGAATTTGCATGTCATTCTTGCACAGGGGCCATGCTAATCTTTTCTTTATCGTTCCAATTGTAGTATATGTGCTGCTGAAGCAGGCATGATTTTTTTTTTTTTTTTTTAGTTGGAGTCTCACTCTGTCGTCCAGGCTGCAAGTGCAGTGGCATACTCATGGCCACCGCAGCCTTGACCTGCTGGACTCAGGAGATCCTTCCGCCTCAGCCTTCCAAGTAGCTGGAACTACAGGCACGCACTACCAGGTCTGGCTAATTTTTTGATTTATTGTACAGACAAGGACTCACCAAGTTGCTCAGGCTGGTCTCGGACCCCTGAGTTCAGGCAGTCCTCTCACCTCGGCTTCCCAAAGTACTGGAATTACAGGCTTGAACCACTGCACCCAGCCCTGAAAATTCTTAGTAGCCTCAAAGGAAAAAAGAAAAAAAAAATTTTTTTTTATGAAGAAAGAACAGGAAGCTACAAAAAGGGAATATTTAGGAAACAAAAAAAGTCTTAAAAATTAAAAAATGAGCCGGGCTCGGTGGCTCAGCCTGTAATCCCGCGCCTTTGGGAGGCTGAGGTGAGTGGATTGCCTGAGCCCGCGGGTTCGAGACCCGCCTGGGCAGCGAGACCTCATCTCTACAATAAATCAAAAAATCAGCCGGGCGTGGTAGCGCACGCCTGTAATTCCGGCTACTCGGAAGGCTGAGGCGGAAGGATTGCCGGAGCCCAGAAGGCGAGGCTGCGGTGGCCGAGAGTGGCCACTGCACTCCAGTCTGGGCGACAGAGTAAGACTCCAACTAAAAAAAAAAAAAATTTAAAAATGTAGCCAGGCTTCGATGGCTCAGCCTGTAATTCCGTACCTTGGGAGGCTGAGGTGAGTGAATTGCCTGAGCCCGTGGGTTCGAGACTCGCCTGGGCAACTTGGCGAGACCTCATCTCTACAATAAATAAAAAAATCAGCCCGGCATGGTAGCGCATGCCTGTAATTCTGGCTTCTTGGAAGACTGAGGTGGAAGGATCGCCGGAGCCCAGCAGGTCGAGGCTGCAGTGACCGGGAGCGGCCACTTCACTCCAGTCTGGGCGACAGAATGAGACTCCAACTAAAAATAAATAAATAAATAAAAATAAAGGGAAAGAAATAAACTCCAGAAAACTGAGGATCCTACACAGGAGAAAAGCAGAGAGAATTTCCAATGGTGAAGGGAAGTCACAGGATGACAACTGGGAAACAGGACAAGAGATCAATAAGTTTAGATTGGAGCCGGGCTCGGTGGTTCAGCCTGTAATACCGCGACTTTGGGAGGCTGAGGTGAGTGGATTGTCTGAGCCCGTGGGTTCGAGACCCGCCTGGGCAGTGAGACTTCATCTCTACAATAAATCAAAAAATTAGCCGGGCGTGGTAGTGCATGCCTGTAATTCCGGCTACTTGGAAGGTTGAGGCGGAAGGATCGCCGGAGCCCAGCGGGTGGAGGCTGTGGTGGCCGGGAGCGGCCACTGCACTCCAGTCTGGGCGACAGAGTGAGACTCCAACTCAAAAAAAATATATATATATATGCGGCCAGGCGCAATGGTTCATCCTGTAATTCCAGCACTTTGGAAGGTGGAGGCGAGAGGATTGCCTGAGCTCAGGGGTTCAAGACCAGACTGAGGAACATGG